AAAAAGTACAAAAGCTCAAAGAGGAACTGGAGAAAATGTGGGAAATAAAGGCCAAAGTAATTCCAGTGATAACTGGAGCACTTGGGACTGTGATCCCTAAACTAGAAAAGTGTCTTCAGCAGAATGCGAGAAATATCAGAGATCTCTATCAAAAAAACGCACTATTGGCTATATGGTTAGAAATTTTTTGTCAGAGAATCACAGCTAAGATACTGCGCAGATCCTTTATCTGTTAGAGGACCCGAGATTGAGGATGATCATAACCATAACCATGAGAAATTTTTTTAAATTAATGGTTGGTTTATCTGTAGAACATTTCTAACTAGGCTAGCTCCACTGGGGGTAAGATTAAAAATTTCCACTAGGCAAGCTTAGCAATGGAAGTGTAGATAAATCGTCAGCACCCGAACTTTTAAATAATACGTTTACCTATTGAGAAGGGATCTTTTGATATCATTTATTGAAAACTAAACTGAAATGACTAAGTTTTATGATATTTTCTTTCTCTTTGTGACAAATTTAAGGAAAATTTCATGATTTTTCGAAAGTAAATCACTGCATGAGAAGTGAAGAATTATGCAGTAGATTTTTAAGATTTTTACTAACTTCGTGCTCAGTGGTAATTTTTTAGTAATTTCGTACTCGAAGAAAGGAGGATAGTTTGTTGAGAGGCTCTGAATTATTAAAGAAGTAATTAGTGATGCTTACCATTCGGCAGCGATTCTATCGACCACACGCTTCCGGGCAGAATTTCACCAATAGCCAGCGGAGCGAGCTTAAGTCAAAATTGCGGGCACTAACCGCTTACTTCTTTATTTTTCCCTTGTTTTGAATTTCATATGGTTTCTTCAAACAATTACTCAATAGGTATTTGTGTCATATAGATGATTTCAAAAAATTCTAATTATTGGAATCGACAGGAAAATTTTGTTTAAATATTCGCTTCGTAGCTGTTTGTCCACAAAAATAGCGCAGAAGTTTCGATACTTCTTGCAATGTTGAACTAACCCTCCCGGAAAAAATGAAATTCGCTTTTTCCATTTTACGCTTGAATATTAAGTTTGCTGAAAAATTTTTATCCAAAATCCAAGTAAGCATTTTTGTCAGAGAATCACTTAGCGAGAGGTAAATCGCCAACGCCATTTGGGATTTTTAGAATCTGCGAGATGAGGCTGGGAGAGAGGAGCTGAACTCTTGCTTTCCAATTCTCTAAATCCACTCTCATCCACTCGGCCACCGTGCCCTCCTTTGAAAAATCATTTTATATTTCACTTTTGTTTCCACGGGAAATTTCGTTTTAACGATTGTGCTAAAAAACATGAGAAGGGCGGACGTGTAATTTAGAAGAGCATTTTCGAGAATGGAAACGAATTTTTCGCAGTGCAATGGTGCAAAGCAGCAATTGCTCGATTGCTCGATAAATTTCTGCCATCGATTCATCCGTCTCGTCTCCAAGCGAATCTTTTACGTAAACGTATGCGTTGTACTTCCGAGCACCGTTGGTCGCCCGTCGCTCCCACTGCATTCGCTTTATTTAACTCATTTAGTTAGGTTTTTCTTCCGATTTTTTGAAAAGGACTAAGCAACTGGTCGATTGGTTTGGATAATTCAGCTGCTCGCGCAGTCGCTTGGGTAGTCCCAAAGCGCAGAAGAACGACGGACCGCAGCCGGGTTTTTTAATAAACGCGTCCAACTATATGGAATGTCGGATCCGAATCGCCGACTCCCAACACGACAATCTACGCGATAATGTGCTGCGAACGAAATAGTTTCGTCCGCAGTGCGAATGGTCGGTGTATTATTTTTTCGGGATTGTGTTGACTTTTTGTAAATTTTTCAGGTTTAATTTTGACGATTTTGGACCATTAATAGCCATCCAGACAGATTGCCAATCCGGGAAAAATTCCGGATTCGCCGTAGCGTTTGTCGGTTTCTTTGGCCGACGATGACTAATTTCAGCTTGATTTGAAGCTGATTTTTACTGTCGCATCAGCTGAAATTCTCGTTACAAATTGCGCGGTTTTTACGGTTTTATTAGGGTAAACGCTGAGGTGAATACTAGCTGATGTTTTAATCGCAAATAAGATGGGTGAATTGAGCGATTATGAATGGGGATCACCGGGGAAAAGATGAGGACGATTCAGTGGGTCGTCGCTCCCACTTCGGGGCGTTGGGGTCCTCCTTCCGGCAAGCCTTTTTCCTTAAATTCCGGGTGGTGCAGGCGACTCGCATATTTCGATCGCTAATTGACTTCCTGGCAAAATTTTTCTGGTCCAATAAACGAACAGAACAAATCAAAAATGATGAGAGTTCTTAGAAAAAAGGAACTGAGATGGAAGCCATTTGCCGCTTTCTCATTTCTTACGAAGAATCCATTTCGCGTCCAATTCGACAATTTATAAATTATGATGAATCGTTTTAGCCAATTAAATCGCCATTTTCATTCATTTATTATTCCATTTCATGCATTATTTAATATTACTTGGATTGGGATCGTATAACGAAATTTTTGGTACCAATACGCAATGGCAGAACGGCCTGATCCAACGGGTTTTTGTGGGGTTTTAAGAGGTTCCGAAGAAAATTTTTTGAATATTTTATCTATTATCTATTATATCCATTATATACATATTATATCTATTGTATACAAATTTTTGATAAAAAAAACTTAAATTTTTGCAACATTAATAGAAACGTTCGATTGATTTTTTATTGCAAAAATCCGATAAAGTTTTTTTTTTAAACATTCATCATTTCTGGTTTGGATGGTCCTTCGAACTTCAGAATACTCTTTCTTTCACCAGAGATTCAACAGCGAATAAACAGCAAGTAAAGGAGGTGTGTGAGTGGTTCAGTGATAAAATGACTGCTACCACTGAGGATGGCTCTGGTTCGAATCGAGCCGACGTATCACGCTTTGAATGGTGAGGATAAAAGGAAATAAAATGGTACAGTGGATTACCATTTTCATATCGGAGTGCCCATACTGAGGTTCCATGTTTGGCAGGAGTGAACTTATCCTTCAAAAATTCGTTGATCCTGGCGATTCACCTTTATTTCTGTGGCCAAGTGACTAGTCCGACGAGCCAGCGGAGCGAATCTAATCAGCAGCAATGAGTGCTCTTAGAGAAAAAAAAAATATAGTTGGTTTCCCAGCAACAGGTTTTCGGATTCAATAAAGCTGATTTTTACATGAAAACACTAAAATGATATATTTTGAAAATATATATTTTTCCCAGGTGGTTTTCCTCGTTATTTCGAAAACCTGTGAACCTCATAAAAAAAATTTCTTTTGCTTCCGTTATTGCGCAAGGTATCACTCTTTGTTTTTCATGTTTTTTATTTGAAAATGGATGTGAAATCAGTTGATCAAGAAGGTTGCTAGTGCAATAGCAGATTTGTGCCGCAGCTTTTAAAAACCTTTAAAACGTTTAAAAAACCTTTACACAGCCTTTAAAAAGCTTTTCCTAAGTTTCTTCGAAAATACCTAATTTAATAAATACCTAAATACCTAATAAATTTTCAACTTCACAAAGTCTTTTATGGTTTTTTTAAAATTTTTGTCGTATTTAGAGGTAAGGATCTTGCTACCGCCTTCGAAAGGGGTGAATCTATTTTTATAAAAAATGGAATAGTACTGGCGGCCCATTTTTATTTCAATTTCAATCTGGTAAAACTTTACCATTCCATAATATTACACTTATAGAGCAAACAGAGCTAGCGAACTGAGTTTGATCGAAGGTTAACCACTTTTCGTTACTAAATGTTTTTGAATATTGTACATTGTAATATAGTAAAAAGATTTAAGCTTCCAAATTTTTACCATTAAACAAAATTTACCAAAATTTAAATTTTTACCATGAAATATAATAAATTTTTATGTAGTATTTGGCTAAAATATTTAAAATATCGCTTCAAAAACTATATTATTTGATGATATATTTCCTGCAATACTGTCATTTAAAGTTTTTACATAATAAAAACTTAAAATTTATACTTAAAATTTATATGCGTATAATTTGCTTTCATGGAACTTTCTATATAATTTTATGTAAGTTTATAAGAACGATTTCATTCCATTGTCAAATGATTTTCAAGTGTTATATAATTGTTTATTTTTGTTTTTATTTATTATTACTACTTTTATTTTTAATTTTAATATTTTAAGTTTTAAATATTTCTATTTTTTTCACAAGTTTTCAGTTTTATTTGTTTATACGTTTTAAATATTTACGAACGATTGGTTGCGGCCAGAATTTTTTAAATTAGTTTACGAAATTAACGAAACTGTAAAATACCTGCAAATAAATATTTAATCAACTGTTAGTCAGTTGCAAAAAAAATATAGTAACCTATTGGCTATTAGATAAAAAAATATTAATTAGTAAGAATATGTATATATATATATATATTTAACATTATGATTTTTAAAATTTTTGCTTTTTTTTGCAAATAATTATTCTTTGCTTGTTTTTTATGTGGGAATCAGGAGAAGCATAAAGAGAATTATCATAGCCTAAATCTTCCTTCTAAACTTAAAGGAGAAAATTTTAAAAGATTTAAAATTTATTTTTCGGATCGAGCGACATCGACTTGGAATGTCGCATTCTTAGAACCAGGAAATTCCCTCTTACCATTCATAGTTCGAGCCGTTTGATGGTGAAGAAGAATTTAATAAATTAGCAAGGCTTAAAGTTACATACTAAATCAAAATTTTAACCGAAATCGATAGAAATAAATAACCGCAGTGGCGAGGTAAGTAACCATTCGTCAGTTGGAAGCGAAACATTTGTCGCAGTGGCGTCAAGTGAGTTTTCTTTAGACTCATAATATTTGCAAATTTTGCAAGTTTTGCAGAAGGAATATATTTCGTAAGATATGTCATTCGCATTCGTTTTTTTATCACTTGCATCCGAGGCATATCATTTGCGCTGTTAGTTTGCATAAAATTTTTGCATATTTTGAAGAAATTTTTATTTCAGGGAGAAATTTTATCGATTATGGCCTACGAAACGAATTACGTAAGATTCTTCGAATAACTCTAAGTTTAATCGTTATAAATCGTAAATTATTAGAACCTATTAGTTCTAATTCTAATTCTTCATAAATCTTACAACGGAAACTTCATATACACAGTTAAAAACTCGACTGAGTCTGAGTATGCAAAAGTCAAAAAATTTGTTTTTCCAAAAAAGGAAGAATTTTTAATTGAATAAAATTTCAGCCAATTCCATATCGTAGTAGGCTTACTGAACCTTTTGAGCCAGGACAAACGCTAATTGTCAAAGGTAAAACAGCTGAAGATTCTGTTAGGTAAAATTTTTTCTCCTCTTAGTTTAAAAGTGGTTTGACCCTAGATATATTTTGCGCAACCATTTCGTAAAAAGTTTCATAATGTTTAGTACTTCAGTTTATTTTCGCCTCAAAGCTTCATTAAATAGTGTATATCGAAAGATCTTTGAGGAAACTAAAATGTCAGCAGTGCAAAAATCCTCTAAAGCTGTTAATGGCAAAATATTAATTAATTTTTAGTGCTGAGTAAATGAAGGAATCCACGAAAATTGTAATCAGCTAGTCTTATTTTATGTATTTTTCTGGTTAAATAGCAATTGGCGAGCACCTCCTCTGGCTCATTCTAATGGCTGTTGGCGAGGCGAAGATTTATCTGGGAATTATTTTGGAATAGAAATACATGCGGGTCTTCACCACCACCCAGGAATTCTTAGTGACAAACTTGGAGAAAAGGTGAAAAAGGATGCTTTATGAAGTGCTTTATGAAGTGAAGTGGAAGAACCACTAGGTTCTTCCACTTCCTAAATAAAAAAAATGAAATTCCAGGTTTACTATAAATCTGCATAATGCTACAGCGGATTTCAGTGGAAATGATGTACCACTTCATGTTTCTGTGCGATTTGATGAAGGAAAGGTTCTATTCAAAATGTTTTTAGTTTTTAAGGCATTATATTAAGGCATTTAAATAAGTTTTTAAAAAATTAATTCGTGACATTAATAGTGTTACATATTTCATAAAATTAATGGATTTTGACAATTTCGGTAATGTTTATTTCATCGAAGGCTATATTTATCTTCCTGTAGAGCTTGATTTGTTGAATAAAATGGTTTTATAGATAAGACAAGAAATCGAAGGCTAATGTGACGACAGTCCGCATTTTTTTCATTTTTCCAGTCATCTTTATTTATGGAGAATGCCTTGAAAGCTTAGAAAATTTATAGTTATCTAATACAATCGTTAATTTTCATTTTTCTTCAGACCCAAGAAGTTTACTGAAAAGAATTACTTAGGGATTTCATCTTTTTCTTTATTAAATATTTAAATTAATAAATTTGTGCGAACATACGCAATCGTCTTAACAGATCGTCTTCAATACGTTAAGCAAAGGAGAATGGGGCAAGGAAGAGCGAAAAAGTAATCCATATAAGAAAGGTGATGATGTGGATATAAGAATTCGAGCACACGATAATAAATATTCAATTTTCGTAGACCAGGTTGTCCTTGATTTTTTTTCAAAAAAATCATTTTTATATTTATGGAAACCATTTATTATGATTCATATTGTGTACAATTGTATGTATATATTAACTTATTAACAGAAATAAGGGCAGGATAGCTGGATGAATAGTGGCTAATGAGATTGTGCTAAGAAGCAGGGTCTAATCGCCAACAGGAGTATATCTTTCACTAAAAAATTTAACTTAATCAATCAATCAAATCAATTTAACTTATTAATTTGCATAAAATAGCTTTTACGGTAATTTCAATCCAAAAAAATTAAAAAATTCTAAAATAGTTTTTTACTAAGAAATTATTGAATACGTTTATTGATAAATGAGATGAATGATCCACAATATTTTCTAAATGATGGAAACAATTTAATTATTGAATTTTTAAAAAGCATTTAATGATAATATCACACCCGGGCAAAAAAAATAAAATTGCCGAAAGAGAAAAAAAATTATTGAGAAATTTTGGAAAGAAATTTTGGAAAAAATGAAATTTTTTAATTTTTAGAAAGAAATAAAAGAATACGAACATCGAGTTCCGCTATCGTCGGTCACGCATTTTTCGATCGATGGCGATGTTTTAATTACTCACGTTCATTGGGGAGGAAAATATTACGTAAGTTTTCTTGTACTTTCATCAAAGTAGATTCCGAGTAATGCTGTGGATTTCCACATTCACTTTAATCCTTATTTGACTCTTTGGTGAAGAGGATTAATTTTAACAGCCAGCAGAGTCAACTCAAAAGTGGATGTTACGAGAAATGTAGAAAAAACCTCCGATTTATGTAGAACCTGTTTTATATTTTATATTTATTTTATTTATTTTATTTTAATTATTAGTTGCCGTCTGTGATAATTTCTGTGATAAACAAATAATTTCGATTTCTTCTTATTTCATTAATTATTAGATGTAAATCGTCGTAAATAATCATGATGAAATAAATTATCAAAATTTAATAAAAATTTCACAATTAACAAAAATTTTATAAAAATTAATAAAAGTTTCGAAAGAATAAAAATTAATAAAAATTTCACATGGTATTTGACTAAACAACTGAGTCTGAAAGAATTGATTGGTACATGCGAAAGTGATTTTTTTAAATGTTCTGGTTGGGCTCGTTCTGCTGGTTTGTCGGATGAGACAAATTTCAGTTGGCGATAAAAATGCAGATCCGTCGCCCGAATCAGCTGAATTTTTTAAAGACTTTGTTTAGAAAGTAAAACCCCAGCGTCCGCTCGAAATTAGAACGAAAATCCACTGGGCTATTTTACATCATCCTAAAGATGTTTATCTAACTTCATCATCGATCATTGATAAATAATCATTGACCCAGTGATGAATAATTGAGTTCTCTTCCTGATTTCATTAGTAAAATTGTATACATGCAGGAAATTATAGAAAATATTTTCGTGGATGTAGACATGACCAGATGTTGCAATATGTGGGTGAACGCATCCGAAACTATGTGACAAATTTGTTTAAATAGATCCACTATCAATTATTTTGAAAATTTTCTATTAAAGTCAAATTTCAGCCGGTTCCATATGAAAGTGGTTTTGCTGGAGAAGGTCTCGCTCCAGGCAAATCTTTGCTAATTTTTGCCACTCCAGAAAAGAAAGCGAAACGGTTCCACATCAATTTGTTAAAGAAGAATGGCGATATTGCGTTGCATTTTAATCCAAGATTCGATGAAAAAGTTTTTTTTATATTTTTTTTGTATTTCTGAAATATCCCGTTCACTCAGTCCCATTTTTATTTTTAAAAAGTTTCACTTTTTTCTGAATGGCGGCTGATCAATCTACCACTTTTTCATGCTTGAAAATAAAGAAATAAGAAATATATAATATATAATTAACATGATAAAAGTAAATGGTTAGCATCTGGTCGGTTCGATTGGGATAGAGTTCAATTTTATTAAGGAATCATTTGGGGCTAGAAATACAAACGTCATCAATATCACCAAGGAATTTCTAATGACAAGTTCTAGCGAACCAAACTTATGGTTGACAAAGCATATTCACTCAGCCTGCCTTGTTATTTGAAATAAAAAATTATTACATTACGCAATTTTCTGAAAAACTGGAACCCTAGATTTTCATCACTCAGCCATCTCTGCCTTAATACAAAAAAGGACGACTTTTTTATAACCATTGGCATTAAGAAAAATTGAAAAATTTAAATAAATAAAATATTTCTTAAGTTTTATTTTGGAATTTTCATAGTTTTTTTTATTGCTCTTGAAGTCTTAATTATTTGCAAATCTTATTACTTACTATTACTATTTATAGCAAAAGATTTCTGTCTTTTGAACTGCTATTAATTATTGTTTAAGACTTATATTTATTAGGTTTTTTAAATCGTTTTTTATATTTGTTTAATTTGTAGACCATTTTACGTAATTCGTTAATTAATGGCGAATGGGGCAACGAGGAACGCGAAGGCAAAAATATTTTGGAAAAGGGAATAGGCTTTGATTTGGAAATCAAAAATGAAGAATACGCATTTCAGGTAATAAAATATTTCATTTTTAACTTCAATAAAACGTTAATAAAGCTAATAATAAATTTTCGATAGAAATAAGAAATTTGATTTCCCTTATTTACAACGTGAAAGCCTGCCTTGTTATTTGAAATAAAAAATTACTACATTACGCAATTTTATGAAAAACTGGAACCCTAGATTTTCATAAACGGTGAACGCTTCGCAACTTATGCTCATCGCTTGGATCCTCACGAGATTAATGGGCTGCAAATTGGTGGTGATGTTGAAGTAACCGGAATCCAAATGCATTAGCTGCTACCATCTTTTTTTTTCGAAATTCCCTCCAATACTCCGAAATATTCTTTTGGCTATTTTTTGAAAAAATTTTTTTTTTTGAAAAAAAAACTTTCATACCAATTGTTTCTTTTTTTCGCCTCACCATATAATTGACTTTTAAGGCAAAAATGCTATACGTAATAAATATGCTTATGTCTCGTCGCTTACAAACTGCCGATATCTCTCATCTACGCTTAGTTTGCTATCTTTGGTTATGAACAAATAAAATTTTTCTTTACGCGAACTCATTCATTGTGAAAATGCAAGCTGGAACCTTGTGCGACAGAAACCCTTTCTATATATTATTCTAAGGGAAACATTCATTTATTTTAAAAATTCGCCCATCTTTCGCGCTATTTTTCATCCGGAATATATAACGGAATAAACAATTCACGACCAAAAATAATTTAATGCAAGAAATAAAATTTATGCCACAATAGCATACAAAAATTACCCGACTTTCAAGTATATACAAAAACGTATAAGATTCATTCTGAATGAGAAAATTGAATGGAATGAAACTTGCCAAGCAAAGAGAAAAAAATAGCCAATCGTTAAGAAACAAACGACAACGCACCTTGCGAAATCTTTCCTTTAAAATATTGACCTTAATAAAACAGTAATGATTTTATTGTTAAAATCACGATATATAAAATTCGAAACTCTCCTACTTAGTCGACCTTAAACCGATTACACAATGGTGCATTAAATGTTTGCTTCCTGCTCTTTTTTACAAAAAAAATCATATACATATAAAAAAAGTCGCAAGAAAATATTAAGATTGTAGAGAGATCATTCAATCATTATAAAAGAATGCAAAAAGAAATTTAAAAAAGCATTTCGCGATTTCAATAAAAATGGAAGTATTGAATGCTCGCCGTGTACAATACAACTGATTTTAAGAAATATCGAGATAAACAATACCAAGGTAAGGCCCCAAAATGATTATTTTAAAAGAAAAAGCGAGTGAATTATGCAACATCATTTTAATAGTTTTTCACAAATTAAATTGCAGCTATTAAATTGCTGTTCTACATTAATTTAAATAAATGAAAAATATTTGTGGTTTGAAATTGAAAAACCCATCGTTATGACATTCCACTTAATCTGATCAATAGATATCCCAAGAAATATGATGCAAGAAGTAATGATAAAAATGTACAATGTACATACAAAGATACAGTAAACCCACGGCAACTACCTTTAAAATCCTTATTTTTATATATTAACACAAAGTATCCATAACTGCGCAAATGAAAATCATTCGTATTATTTTAAACAAATATTGACCCATGGAAGAAAGAGAATGAAAAAAATAACCAAAACTGTTTTAACGAAAATTTAAAAAATGAGTAATCATCTAGAGAAGTAAAAGAACTTTATCAGACTTTAAGAGGCAAAAATCCAAAAGATCCAAGATATATAGCGAGAATTCACTAGTTTTTTTAAGAAACGCAATCAAGAAACACTAAAACCATTTTCAACGACGCGAACGATCGATTACATTCGGAGCTATAGTATCAATTTCACCGATATTAACACGGTTTGGATCAGCAGTACTTTTGAAGCCAAGACAAGCACCATCCACCAAACATTTATTGTTTCGACCGCCTTTTTTCTTCTTTTTACCAGATGAGGTATTAGATTGCTGAGATAATGAATTTCCTACCGCAATAACATTTGTTGACAATGTATCAGCAGCAACCGCTGGACGTGATAAGTCCTGAAACATTGTATTAGTGAAAAATTAATTTTTTAATGTTCAATTAATTTTTTTAAGAAAAAATAGTGAGTTCGTTTTATTTAAATTATTAGAGAGAGAATCTGATAACATAGGTAAGATTAGGGTTATAAGGGGCTCACAATGCAACGCATAATCAAAAGGGAGTGAAATATTGAGTAATTTGATATATACCTATTAGACATATATATGAAAAATTTAAAAAATTTAAAAAAATATTTTTTTGTTAGCAAACGGTCATTTCAGCAAAATATTATCGATTTACTTTGACTTAATTGTGAATTATTTCGCAATTTCTGACAATTTTTTTCTCTTGAACTTGAACTTTCTCTCGAACTTAAAAAATTTTTTTTAAAAAATTTGAATTACACTAGATTATATAAGATTATATAAGTTTTAATATATATATTTAATACATATATATACAATTTTTTAAAAATCATTTTCTAGTTTATTTTTCATCCCTCCCCAATTTCTCTGCCTTTGTCTTTGACAGGAATAAACCTGCCAAAATAACAAAAATCCGGATGGTTTCTGGCAATCCGCCAGTAACTATACCCTCAAGTGACTCTATGGTGAAAGAGTCAGGTCTTCTTGACACGGCGCCCATAACATCCCAGCATGGTGATACATGCAATAAGTTTGCAATCCAAGTGTATTCAAACAACCTCAGAAACCTTAAGATCTGCTCGCGAGCTAGGATTATTGCCCCAAACTTACCAAAGGAAATGGTTCTCTGCATGCGCGGTAAGGTGTTAGCCTATCAGCATGGAACTTCATGAATACTTATGGATGTTGCAAGCTAAATGATCACTGTCAACATCCTTTCTAAATATCTTTGCCTGTTTGACGGAGATCCGTTTTCCTTATTTCGGGCCTCAAGTAATTGTTAAACCTGGAACTGAGCAATGGTATTAACTATAGCACTATGGGTGCTTTGGATAATTCGGGCGTAGAGATTACCATACCTTAAAAAGCTCGGCCCGCTCAGACTGAGTGGAAGCAGGTAAACGCATAGTCTATGCTCGCTTCAAAAGAAAGTTCTGCAATATCAGTGTGTATGCTTCAACTTTAAGGAAAATGACCGCGATAAGTTCAATGCGAAGCTTAAAGCTCTAACAACATCTCCATCGGATTAAGTGACATGGTCATATGATACTGGAATGCGCACATAGGTCACGACGAATTCAGCAAATGGCAAATATGGCATTGAGATCCAGTGCGCCAATAGGGCACGTCTTTTTCATTTTGCTGAAGAGCATGAACTTTTTGTTAATATGTGGCCGTATCGGAAAAGACATCGAATCATTTGTAACTTCCCAGACCAAGACTCCAACCAGACCTATTATCCTTTAATCATTCACTGCTGGAAGAGTTAATATTAGATAGCCATTCCTGTCAGGGTGTTTAAACTGGTAACATTCATAGACGGACCATGTTATGGTTCAAGCCATGATCCACATAAAACTGATAATTCATAGAACGTCTCCTAAGAGGGAGACTATATCAAGCTTCAACTATATCAAGCTAAAAGAATCGGGGATTGTAAGCGTAAACCGAATTATTGAAACCTCAATGAAATGAACATCAGAATAGATCAGATTCTCTGCAATGGTGGATGAATATTGGTCCCAATTAAAGCCATTTACATACTAGGATAAGCAAGTAGGAAATGCATTAGTTGGATATCGGAAGCAACTGTTCAATAACCTGAAAAAATTGCCAAAGCACGAATGTCAGCCGATCGTGACTGTCGGATGCTTCGAAGAATTACAACGACAGCAGCACTGGGGGAACAGATATCGCTATTGGAATGATATTGCCTTGAAAATGGAGACGGCTACTCGATTAGGCGATAATATGAAACTATTTCGGAAATCACTTTCTGCATAAAGTAACTACAACTCGGGGAACGATCAGTAAAATGGAAGGGGATAGTCATGATATACCTGTTAAGGCTATTAAGGATCGCTTCGTAAGATGGAAAAAATTCTTTGAGGTCAAATTTTACCATGATAGTCATCTGTTGTCCCGGCTGCGCTTGTCGAGCCAACTGCAAATAGAAGAGAAAATAATCAGCGTTATCCATAAGCTCAAGAACAAAAAATTCCTGGAAAAGATGGTCTTCTGGCTGAACTTTTCAAATGTTCATCGTCCTTCATATCACATCTTCAACAAATTTATTCTCTGGTATAAAAGAAAGAATATCAGATGACTGCAGCAAAATAATCCTACTCCCAATTCCCAAAAGGGTTGATAGGATAATTGTGATAATTACCGAGGAATCAGCCTACTAAATATCTCTGCGAAAATTTTTTCTTCCCTCCTGCTGAATAGACTTATAACACTACCAGAAAAAATGATGTGCTCTAACCAAGCTGGATTCAGATCAGAACGACATTGCGCTGACCAGATATTCACGTTAAGAGTAGTGTTGGAACATCGCCAAATATCGGCAACCCACCATTACATGTTTTACTCTTTCAATTCAATTGATAGAGCGGCGCTTTGGAGGGTGATAGAACGGTGAAGATCATTCGACTCATAAAGGTATTTTATGAGTATACATCTGCGCAGGTCTATGAATATGAGGAACTGACTGACTCGTTCGAAATAAGAACTGGTCTTGTGTCCTTTCCCCTACAATATTCAACTACGCGATAGAGTGGACAATAGATATTGCTTGTCAGCGCTTAAGAAGAGTGCAAATTGATCCGGAACATTACAACACAGACCTTGAATACGCTGATTATGAAATCCTTTTTGTTGACAGTAATGACGAAATAAATCGGCCTTAGGATCAATATAAATAAAAATATTTTCGTCTTATATATAAGAAGCTGATAAAATACCTATTTTTATCAACCCATTCGGAAGTGCTTGACTTTATCTTGAATCAACTCTAACCCTAAATGGTCAAACGAAAAAAAAAAGAAACCCAGCTTGCTAGAAATGCGTTCTTCCAAACTGACGAGGTTTATGAAGTCGTCGTGAAATCACTATAAAAACGAAACAACACGTCCATATAGCTATAATTCGCTCGATTTAGTTATATGGCCGTAAGACATCGCCAGCGAGAGCGGAAGATATTAAGAGGTTATCTATCTCTGACCACGCATGTGCAAGATACATTTTACTGGCTTGCCGAGCAAAAAAATCTAACATGACTACAACCATCTTCGGTTATTTAGCACATGCATTAATAGTACCATCACACATCATTCCCTCCACTGGTTAAGGCACGTTTTTCGTCGCCTACCATAGGAGTTAAAATAAATGATAAAATATAAAACAAATAAATAAAAAATTTTCTTATCTGCTAAACCTTGTAAATGGATAGCATCAAAAGCGAGAAGGGCCAATCAAAATCTAGGTCAGGAAAGATTTTGAATGTATAGGCGGGTCAGCGATATATGGACTTAGCAAATGGAAAAAGGAATGTTTCTATTACGATCGACGATGGCGCCGGATCTTATTCGCCAGTGGATCCAACCTAGCCAGTAATGGTGAGAGCTGTTAAAAAAAATTGTCGAATATATTTTTCCAAAATTTGAGTTTAAATTTTGAACTACACTCGAACCAATAATTTGCAATTTACATTCGAACAAATATCAGAAATCCCTTGCCACAAATATCAGAAATGGGACGAAAAATTTTATTACAACTGGATTACGAACATCTTGACATAGTTCCAAAGGACCGCAAATATGTTACTCCAGAAAAAATCTGTTGCGAATTTTCGAGAGCTCAACTTTGACTCAACTTCGACTACACAAAGCGTCAAATGACCCAGGATAATTTGCGTATTATTAGGAGATTCTATTTTACCATCCGTATTCTTGAAATTACATTATACCATTATATAATTATTCTTTTTACGCGATGAACAAAAATACACTCCTGACGATTTTGAAGCCAAAAAGCAATGGAGGAGCTAGCTGGCCACAATAAAAAGGAATTCCATCACAATGGCTTTACAAACATGTATCTTAACATGAAAAAATAATAAATTATACTCGTGCTTCTTGTCCTAATAAATTCTTTAATTTCGATGTTTATAATGAATTGTTGAACCTCCTAGATTCAATAATTTCTCTTTTTTTCTAAGAACACCATTGTTGGTTAGGCTCGCTCCACTGAACTTGTCGAACCAGACAAATTTTGCCAGGGAGCCACTTCGCGACAAAAATATAATCCATTTTAATTCTGTTTAAGTCTTAACAAAGCAATGCTCAAGTATGGTTAAAAAGTACGCGTCTTTCCATCTTATAGACGAGAATAACTAACGTCTTTTTCTGTTGTATATTTCTTTAAACGAGTCTGAGATCTTCGATCGAGAAATTCCCGCAGAAATTCTTTTGCTTCACGACCTTCACCCAAATATGTGTCGATATAATCCGCAACCTATACAAGAAATGTTAACTGAAACCAAAACCAAAAAAACTATTTTTAAATATTTTTAAATTTTAAGGGAAAAATAGAGGAATAAGAGAACAAAACAACATCGTCGGGATTATCGACATCTTGGATAAACGAAGCAAAAACATCTGCATCTACAGAAGAATTAAGCTGGTTAACTCGCTGGATAATCCAGCTCGTGAATGGACAATTGTTTATACTTAATGAATCTTTAAAAAGCTTTTTCACTGCCTGAAAAAAATGTTTTCAATAAATATAAGTGCAGATGTAAATAATGACACCCCTTTCACCCCAACAAAATGATTGAAAAAAATATAAATAAAAAAGTATACTGAATGTTCAAAAAATTCAAAAAATTGATGTTCTCACCTCTTGATGTGCATTGCAATCACCCTTAGATTTGGTAATATGAGCATTTTTCGGGAAGCTACAAGCAGTAAGAATTGAAAATTTAAAAAATCGCATTATTTTTATGATTGATATTAGAACTGAAAGAGTACCAATTGTTTGTCTTCAGTTTTTTATCCATTTCTAATGTATTCCAAAGCGGATTTACCGTAATATTTGAATTAAAGTTAGCACCAGCTGCACCCCACGCACTTTGATGCACTTGCGATACTGCCTTAAAAATTAAACTAATAAATATTGCCAACATTTGATAAAAATGTCAAACTGGTCAATATGAATGAGCAGCAGAACAACTAACTTTAAGAGGCCGATTCCACGTTAATTTTTGAGAAGCAGAAGCCCACACACTGTGTGCAACTCCTGCATTCTCCTTCCGATTCGCATCCAATTGCTGACGTCTTTTTTCGCTTTCTGCCATCGCTTGAAGTTCTTCCTCTCGTTGAATTTCTAGCAAACTTTGTTCGCACCGCTCATGCAAATGCTGACTATCGCTATTCATGCGCAACCAAGGAGCCACTGAAAAATTGTCTTTATATATCAAAATTTTTTCCCTCGACAATCCACTGATGTATTGAATGCAAATGCATTTCTTTATCAGCAATAGCAAATGACTTTGAAACAATAAATAACAGTTATAATCGCAAAAACATAAGAGACAAGAAAAAGTGACTAATAACAAATCACCTTTCGTCAAAACTGGCTTATTATCGATAACTCGATACGTTGTCTGTGTTTTAATTTGTGATGAATGTTCACATAGATTTTCAGGTATACTAACAGGAGCGTGTGATTCTGTCACAGTAAAAACAGTCTAAAATGGATAGCACAACATAATACATATGCAAGATATTTAGATTAAATACGGTTCGATGTTTTTGGCCAAAAAGTCATATGGCCATAGCACAGTTGGGCCAACCGAATTTTTCAATGAAAAATTTATTAACAGGTACCGAACCTCTGTCTTTCAATACGATGTGAGTCACCATCCAGTCGGCCTCCCTATATTTTGGTCAAGATATTAATGTCATCCATATGAAAATCTTGCACCTGATCGTATAACTTCTTTTGTTCGAATTGTTTACTACTTTCTTTTTCTGGTTTCTTTTTTGCTTCCCTTTCTTCAGCTTTTTTTCTTTCTGCATCGATTTGCAATGTCATTCTCTCTTTCTCTGCTTTTTTATGCTCATCTTCAACCAATCTCCGACGCTCAGCTTCCTCCTTAATTAAAAGTGTAGAATACAGAATAAATTTCCTAAAAGATAATAAGAATAGAAACTAATATATAAATCTTTTTTTTTTTCATAATTCTTTATATATTTCATAAAAAATCTGAGAGAACTGAAGATTCGATAAATACATAAATAAATAAGTGAATAACTACATTAAAATAGGTATATTAAACCCAAAACTGACCAAGGAGTTCTTGTGGACTTAAACTAACTAAATAAATTCTAATCCAAGGTTAAGAATACGCAAATACAGCGTGAGATACCTTTCGCATTTCATCCAATAATCTTTCAACTTTTTCTTTTTTTGCTCTTTCAATTTCTTCAGTCATTCGTCTTCGCTCATTTTCAATTTCTCTTTCTCGTGCTGCAGCTTTTTCCTCTTCTTCAGCAGCCATGCGACGAAGCTCCTCCTTAAATTAATGCAAATATTTAATACTGATAGCAAATCTTCGCAATTTATAATAGAAAATCTAATAGAAAATCTAAATATTGGAAAACTTCAATGCAAAATAGATTGAAAAACAGTAGCAACTACTACCTGTTGTTTTTGAAACAGCAGTTCTTTTTCCCGAATTTCTTGCTGCCATTTTTTCTGTCTCTCTTCTTCTTTTTTTGCCATAGCTTCTTCTTGTTCCCTCAATTTTCGTTCTTTTTCCGCCAATCTCTAAAAATCTGCTGTTAAAAAGATGACAATCCACCATAAAAATCACTATTTATTGCCACTACTGCATTAGCACTATAGCAAAAAACATAAAACAAAGTCATATATATTTTTCGTCCTCCTCTCAAATTTTGTTATTATTTCTCTTGCTTCACTTTTTTGACTAACCATGTCTATTGAACTCTTAACTCCATATTTCCTACTAATTTTATCATACTAATATTTCCTACTAACTTTTGCTACATTTAGTCGAATTTACATTTTATTACATCATGTTATCCTTCGCGGTTCCACAGTTTGAAAAACGGTAAAAGCGCACTTTTAAAAAATAAAATATGAGTAACAATATACAACGCAAATAAATCTGTTGAACAGATACTATGAACATAAGGCGATAAGGCAGACTTGAAACCTTTCCTTCAGCAACTTGTTGTCGCAAAGGAAAATGAAGTCTAGAAGTATTTTATAGAAGTATAGCACCTTCTGAGGAAATGTTTAAGATGATGAATGTATTATATAAAATGAACAGTGGGATTAAGTAGTGCTAAAGAGAACAATAGAATTTCAAGAAGCGTTGATTTAATGTGAAATGTGAAAGGTTCTGGAGGATATCAAAGAATTTCAATACGAATTTTGGGGCTATTGCTTTTAGATAAACATTAATAAGTCAAGGCTATTATATTTTTTAAGTATTATATATATTATATATTATATTTTCTTCTACAGATAAAATGATCGAGATAAGAAAAAAATATTACGGTTTAATTAAAAATATTTCTATGGCTATGCGCTACAGACTTTCAAGCCAAATTAATTGTAAAGTACATTTTAGAAGAAAATAGACTTTACAAGAAAATAGACATTTTACAGCAGACTTTTTGGTGATGCTGCAAAACCAGAGCAAAAAATTAAAACTTAATATTCGAAGAAAATTAAGCATAAATAACAAAGAAATCAAATGGAATACAAAGTGAATAACAAGTGAGTAAATGAACAATAACAAATGAACAAATTGGAAACCTGTCGTTCTTCCTGTACTTTGTCGATAAAAGAAGCATCGGTCCACAGTGTATGACTGAAAAATTAAATTTTTGTAGCAAATTAAAACTCAAAAAATGAAGAAACTTTATATTATACTAATAAATTTGGAAATAAAGGAACAATAAAAATATGAAGGTACACTGCACTGAATTAGAAGACCATAAAAAAACATATACCTACGGAATACTGAATATCTACGGAATAAAAACGGAAGACGAAAATAATTTGTTAAAATCATGGCGCGATTTTCACACTTGAAATGTTATTTTAATGAAATAATAATAAATAATATTATATAAATAAAAATTAATAATAATAAAAAAATAGAAGTGAAAATAAACAAAAATAAAAATATATGAATCCAATTAATAAGTGCGAACATTCAAGGGTTCAAAGGCCTGTTAATAAAAAACTAATAATGAAAATAATAAAATATAAATAAAATTAATTAATTAAACAAAGAAAATATACTTCAACTGAGGAGGTTGCATAGGCATTTGTACAACTTCAGCCACAGTAGGAACTAATCCATAATCTTTGAATGGTGTCACCGCACCATTCCAACATATTAAATCGTCAAGTGTAACAAAACGTTTCTCAGGATCACGACCGTACCGTATATGTAAATTCTTGGGGAAATAACCCATATCATACCATCCCTTAAAATTTCCAAAAATAAAATTAACTTCTGTAAACTAGAAGAAATTTATATTTTACAGATGGAAAAAACTGAAAGAATACGAAACCTGCATATGTGAAGTAGCAAATGGTCCTTGAATTGCATTTTTTGGATCGACATAGAACCAAACATCCTCACTATTAGACAACGAACTTGTAACTGAAACAGACTGTGCCAAAGGATGATGCATAATCGTTCCAATATTACTATTCTGCAAGCATTAAAATCTATCATTACCGTTATACATGATCGATAAAATTCAACATATAAATACAAAAAACTATTGAATAACAACGAATACTTTATGATTTGAAACAAACAATTCTACTGAACCAATTAAACCGTGAAATTGTTCATAACAATAAATAATAAATAAATTTTATTTTAGATATACTATATAATGGAATGGTTCATTCCGAACTGTAAAATATTACCCAATGATCGTAAGTGTATAATTCAACATGGCTATTATATAGTATCAATAAACCATCAAAAAAAATAGTTTGCGACTATCAAGCAAACTTTTTGTGGGCCAGCTTTTTCCATTTATTAACAGGAAAATATAAAAATAAAACCTTTGACTGATAGATATTGCTCGGTTTGGATGAGACGACTGGCGCCTTGGTTTCCGCAGTTAACAATGTAGTGATTTCAGGAGGCTAAAAATTAAAATATAATAGGTCTGATTTGGTTCACAGTTTAAAAACTGAAGATGATTCTTCAATTACTTCCTGATAATGCAAAACAGCCGAACTATGAGAATCTGCTTTTTCATTCGAATTAGTCCATGCATCAGCTAAAACAACAACTGAAGACCCAGTGGAGTCCATTCCATGCACCTTTTGCCTAAACTTAATGAATTTCTTTATGAATTCTGCGGATAATAGAAAATTACGATCATTATGAAATAATTTTACTTGAATGAACTTTTTTCCAAATCTAAGTCAATTATATAATGACAATGAAAACATAATAATTCCAATCAACTAAAGAATATAAGATTATGCCAGAAAATCGTAGGAAAAATCAAATTCTTACCGCTCGACAGAGTCATCATTGCCACCTGCACCGATAACATTTGGAGCCACTTTAGCTACTGGATTTATTTTGAACTGCCCATCATCGAATGATCCAGTATCACTGACTAACGCACCACCTCTGAAAAAAAATTTAATCATCAAAAATTAATCACCAGTATTGTCGAATAATTTTAATAATTGATAAGTAAATGAACCAGTTTAAAAAAATATGTAAATAAAGCCTGTATCTCCAATACAAAACATTTCAATCCAAATTAATAGAAAATGTCCTTGGCAAAATCCGGACGTTTTGGAAATTAACTTTATAATCCTTTTTCAATTTTTGTTTAATTCGAGGTGATATATAGCAAAACCTTTCAGATGCATCACCCATCCATTCTGGGACGGTACTTCCTGATATTGCGCTCGAACTTGATTTCTGGTGTACAGCACCACACAAACTTCGTTTACCCCAAGAAACACCAGGATGTCCCACACGCACCCACTCATCGCTATTCGCATTTTGTATCAGCATTGATGTTGGACTAGTTCCTGAGGTGACGTTTGAATTAAAAGTGGTGTTAACATTAGGAACTGGCGGGCTATCCTCCGAAATACTCCGATGAGATTTTCTTGGGCGATCGTTCGGATCACGAGGATCATAGAGACCCTGAGCACGTGAATTAAGTGGCAACGAACCCACAATGCCTCCACCACGTCCAGATACCATACCTCCTCGACTACGAGATGGCACTGGAAAATAAAATTGCTGAAAATTAAAAATTAAATGATTGAAATGTTTTAAAATTATTTCATTGAAAAACCACTGCTTTAATTTAATTTTGTCAAACATACCGTATCTATTTAATATGGGCGAATCAAGCAAGCCAGACGCTCCATGATTTCCTGGTATACTGTGCGATTGCACTCCCCCTCGACCGCCTCGAAAAGAAGCGCTACGATTTGACTGCACGGTTCCTCGACCAAATCCGGATCCACCACCTTTGGAAAACAATATATGTGGTAGAAAAATTGCACCACAAATTAAATTTTTTAAAAAATACCTGCGACCATATAAGTAGATTGAAACTGCTGACCTCCCCCACCAGAATGGCCGATATTTCCGTACTGCGCTATTGTACTACCACCAGATCCAATTACCAGCCGTTCCGTGTGATTAAGTGCATTCATCGCTTTACTTGAATTGATGTTAAACTGAAGACGCTGAAATTTTTTCATTCCAATTAAAAAAAGCAACTCTGGGAGGACAATAAAAATTGAAAAACACAAACAGGAGAAAATAAATTACCAAATCAAAATCAAAAATCATAATTTCTGGTAAAATAACCATAACCATAATATAACCATACTTCCTCAATTTCGGAGTGCGCTTGAAGAACAATAGGCTGCTGAGTTATAGGAATGAAAAAACAACATGCATCAAGTCCATCTGGAGGACGACTATCTTTTGGCTGAAGTGCTAAAAGATCTTCCCGTCCGTATCGATTTGTAACAAATATCGGATCGGCCAGTGGGTAATCATGCTGCTATAAAGCTTTTTCCCATGAAAAATATCTCAATAATCCAATTTTTCGATTAAAATGAAACATTGAAAAAATTTTGAAAACAGCCAATTTAAAAATTCCAAAATCCTAAAAAAGACAAATTACTCACATTCTCCGAAGAAATTTGCTTCTCATTACGTGTGGAGTTTCCAAGAGAACCATCTCCACCACAATTACCAGCCCCTCCCGAATTGACACGCATCCTTAGAAAAATTGAAATTATTAAGTTATAACAAATAAAAATTATATTAATTATATTATTAATTTTAATACAAAAACAAAATCTTAAAATTTCCATATTTTTATCAAAAATTTCACTCAAAATATATATCAAGTATATCAAACACATATGTTGTTCCTTAAATTCCTTTACTTAACGATGTTTCCCTATCACCACAAAAATCTCATTAAAAAACCATATCTATCGCATGTTTCTAAACTAAAAAGTTTGCTCAAAATATTATTACTATCTAATTTTAATAAAGTTCTTTTAAACATCGATTTTTGAAATTCTGAAAAATTTTCAAGTGCCAAGTGGTATATCCATTTGTTTCTATCCTCAATTGATTTACAAAAAACAACCATTAACACTTTTTTTGAAGCGGATTTCGTCAATACGCAACTATTTTCTTACCATGATGGAATGAAATTTATTTGGGTTGTTTCTACAGAAATAGCACTTGTCGACATTTCTTTCTTGATAATAAGCGACTTTTTTTTCAGTGACTGAAGCAAAAAATGATACAAAACTTTAGTGAAAATATATTGTAAAAATTTATTTCGATGACTTATTATATGATGTATCACCAAATGGTCCTCAACAGCTACCAGGTTTTTTTTTAGCGACCCCACACAGACAGGAACTCAAACTCACATCAAACAACAACCCACTTAAATTATCCAAGTTCTCTCAAATTCTTTTTGTTTTCAAAAAATAACGTAAGTAAAACATAATATTGGTCATTGAAAAAACAGTGGTGCATTCATGATTTTTCAAGGGACTATAAATGGAATTATCATCAACATATTAACACAATTCTCACCAAAGCTATCACCATGTTACCACAGAATTTTCCCAATTTATCGCCAAGCCGCTATCAAATCATCGAAACATAAATTTTAGGCATTAAAATAAGTGACGAAGTTCAACAGCAATTTGGTATGAAAAATTCTTAAAACATGAAATACTGCTTCTAAAATAAAATCGAAGAAAACAGCTGTTTGGATAGCTTAAAATTTTATTTGATAAGTAAAATAAAATGAATATTAATAGCGACGAAAAACACTCAATTGCTCACACAATATTCACACTTCTAACCTCTGAAAGCTCGTAATAAAGCTTGCAGAATGGAACAGAAAAATCCTATTCGAAACTTAAACAGAAACAAAAAATATTACGCAGGTACAAATAAAAACCGGCGGCATCAGACAAAGACGACGCTTTAAAACTACACACCCCAGGCTAAACCCTGCAAAAGCCACCCCAACACCACGAACCAACCCGAATCACCAAACCCAATAGGACAACGCTCAACGAGCTACACGTGCCCATCTTCTAGCTGTCTAACATTTTTTTCTCTGCCGCTCTTACGAAAAAATCCTTGCAAAATCATTTGCGAAAATAACAACGAAATATTTTCGATAGCAATTTTTCGTCTCCACTGCTCACCGTATTTATTGTCGCTTCACGTTCAATTAATTTGTGCCATTTGCTAAATCTACGGCTTAGTCGCATTTGCAGAATTAAAGCAATCCACCCAAGTTGGAAAATTACTTTAATTAATCAATTACAGGTGTAGTTCTATTCAAATTTGCAAAACAAACTAATATTAAAAATTTAATATTTAAAAATTATTTTAAAATTAACTGCAATATTTTGAATGAAATAGACGATATTTGCAATCCATTGCACACACCTCAATTGCGAGTTGACTCTCTGGTGAAAGAGTGGTAGGAAGCGGAGCAATGCAAGCCGAACATGGTGAGTGCTGGAAGAAGAGTATAATGAGAAAATTACTGGAATGTCAAGCTCCCTTCCCTCCCCCTCCCCCAAGGTGACACCACAAATATCCATGGATTCCCAGTAGAACATTTTTAAAATATTTTTTTCTCCACCTAAGAATTTTTAACGAATATAATAAATTGCAAATGGTCATTGAAAATGACTCGTCACCATACAATTAAAATGAGAATGGTGAGAATAATCCAAATGAGGTTTGGTCAATGAATTATTTTTAAGCCTTTCTTCCACGGAACCACAAATTTATTTCTCTTAATGAAATTTGCGAAAAATTGCAATAAAATCGAAAAAAACTTTTTTAATGGATTCAAATTAATAGACATTAATAGATAAATCTTCATTTAAAAATAAGTCATCAAATATAAGAAATGTTACCATTCTTCAATATATTTTAGTTTTTAATGACCTCAGTTTGACCTTTTATACATAAACTTCCGTTTAATGCAAACTTCCATATATCGAATAAATTTTTTGCCTTTTTTAAAAATAACTTCTAATAATAACTCTCACCATTACTGGCTAGCCTGGCTCCAACGGCTATAAGAGTAAGGTACTTCCAAGGGGCGTGGTCTGATGCCATCGTCGACAGCAAAGGAAGCCATTTCTTTTTCCACCACTTAAGTCCATATATCGCTGATCCCCCTATACGTTCAAAGTCTTTCCTGATTGTACCAGTCCAGGTCTTGAATGGTCCTCGCTTTTGGCACTAACTATCACAGGATTCGACAAGTAGCGAAATATGCGTCAATTCCTGTGGTGAACGACAGAGAACGTGCCCTAACCAGTCAAGGCGAAGCTCTGTGATAACATTATTAATATAGGTGGTAGTGAAGATTGACAATCATGTGCTCGACGGATCCGCAAAATATGTCTTAGGTATGAGTGGTAAAAGGCTGATGGCTTCTTAATATCTTCCACTCCCATTGGCCATGTTTCGCAGCCATATAGCCAGATCGAACGAATTGCATCTATATGGACTAGGATTTTCATCATTATGGTAATCCTGGAATGGTTCCAAAAAGGTCCAATCAGCCGTAAAAAATACTTCTAGCTGCTTGTCCGAATTACATTTTCATCCTTCGCTTGGCCATTTGGAAATGGAGTGGAGCCTAGGTATTTAAAGTCGAGCACTCCTCAACCGGCAATGTATTGACAAAAATAGGGATTTTATCAGCGTCAAATAAAATGACTCATTGAATTAGTGTTTATTTTTGTTTTTGCTATTTATCTCTAAACTGTGGATTTTACCAAATATCGAGGAGTATTTCAGTTAAAGCAATTGTGTATAGACAGATAAACAAATAAAAATACAGTATAAAAATGCACACAATAAATTATATTTAATCGAACGGGTACAAAACAGCCGAATGAGATGGTACGTAAGATCCTTTTGTCTGAAGAACTTTTATTCCTGACTTGTTTAGATCCTTCCTGGAGTTATAGAAAATAGTATGAGAGGGTTATTACGACATAATCTATAAATTCAACTATATTTAGACACAAATAAATAATGGATTATTGTTCGAAGATATAAAATACAATATCTGCAATACAATACAATACCTTTTAAAATAAAAGATCTCTTGATGATTTTCGCTGTTAGCTCAGACTACTCGACCGCTAAATAAGCCAAGTCTACGAACTAATTGTAAGGAAACAGTTTTAGAGCGATTTAGAGCGATTCGATTTGATTTTCGTATCGAATATCTGCCATTCATTCAATTGAGACCAAATGCATCCAAAAATCTTTCTATCTGCTTGATTTCAAAGCGATTAATAAGAGATTCGCACACCACTTCTGGATGTTTTCCTAAACGCTTTGTAAATCACGTTAATGTCTCAAAAGTATGGAGCATAGAAAGGTTGTTCCATACTTTAGCGTAACTGTTGATTAGTGCAAAAGATCTAGAGAAGTTCAAATTTTTCACCTTTATTCTCATAGGCGTTGTGTGATTGGATAAAGTGGTAATTGCTTTTCATTCCCATATTTTCGCAATTTTCTAGCGACGTCTTTTCTCCATTATGGGTAAACATTTTGATCACTCAAGATGATAGGAGCTAGTGAGATACTTTTCTAACATTCGGTAAATTCCTGTTTCCCATTATCTGAAACAGTACCTTCAAGAACCCAACACCCTGCGAAATTTTGCAATTGTAGATTTTACAGAAAATTTTAGAAGTCGAGATAGTATCCGTTTGCAAAATTTTTGCTCAGTGCCAGAAAACTTCAACAATTCGTGCAAAAATGCGATGCTTTAAACGCCCTGGAAAACCTGATTTTGATGATAGCGCTCATTAGGGATCTGGCCACACTGCAAGCTGAACCTTGCCAGTGAGTTAGCTCCCAGTTGGCTTCCCATATTTTTGCCACCTAGCAAATGCGATAGCCAACTAATTTCTTTCATGGTTTTCTTTCCATGTGACAGATTCAATTCGACATCCTTACTTTTTGTTTTTTCTTTTTATCACCAGTCGAGAATCTCTTTTTGGTAATTGTGCGATAAGCCATTAGAGCAGATCAAGAGTTTTGAGGGTGTAGAGAGTTACAACAAATGGAGAGAAACTGAACTGGGAAGCGGTTAACCTAAGACAACTAGTGGCGAATTTATTACGACCAGAGTGGACATTATGCTAGGCATGCACAATGTCTAAGCTAATTTTTTTCAAGCCTACGCAAGAATTATTTATATATTGCAAACATTTTATGACATGTTATGCGACGCTCGTTCTGTTTCATATTTTTTTATAAGAATTTCATAAGAATTTCATATTTTCTTTACTTTACAGGTTGCCGTGCAAAAAGTTACGGTACGGTCTTCACTTTTTTCATCCACGATGACCGTTATATTAAAGAAATGAAATTCAAAAACGTAAAGATTATGTAACTTGGTTTATTTATTTTTACACTCAAATTACGATGGCGAGGCATACATTCTGATAATTTAAAACAATCACAATAATTAATTGAAACAACTCCTTTTTTCACCGTTTACGTCTATGTATCGGTGGGTACACGGATTACACGAATAGTGACATCAAACAGCAATTAGTTCAATTCGAAATTAAATCGAGTATAAACTCCATTCTTCCTCCTCCTGAACCATTTTTTGTTTGATTGAAATCCTCTTCAAATCTTTCTTAACACCAAAACCATAATATAACTTTAAACAAATGTGCTGTTT